ATTACGATCATGGATTACAAAAAATTCTATCATGGGTTACAAAAAAAACAAAAAATTCTATCATGGATTACAAGAAAAAAAAACAAACATTTCGATCATGGATTACAAAAATTCTATCATGGATTACAAAAAATTCTATCATGGGTTAAAAAAAAAAAAAAAAAAAATTCGATCATGGATTACAAAAAAAAAAAAAACAATTTGATCATGGATTACAAAAAAATCGATCAAGTATTACAAAAAAATCTATCATGGATTACAAAAATAAAATAAAATAATAAAAATAAATAAAAAAAATAAAACAAAATTTATGTTCTTCCGTACGGGACTCGCCGATTCACTGTACGGGACTCGCCGATTCCGTACAGTGAATCGGCGAGTCACTGTGCAGAATCGTCCGGTTCTCTGTAGAACCGGACGATTCCCGTTTTTTTCACCTATTCGAACCGTCCATGGCGATTCCCGAGTCGAATCGGGCGAGTCCGGTTCAACTCGGCGTTTTTTTAAACACTGCTGTGATGACTTGAAAATCTATTGGACACGGTTTCCATGCAGCCAGCCTGTAAAAATGCGGGCTTACCAATAAATATATTTTTTAAATATGATTTGATCTTAGTTTTTAGAGCATATATAATCTTTAATATGGTGATCAAGAATATGATTTTTTTTTTGAAAATATAAACGATAATTATATTAAGAAAACATTTAGACCATTAATTATAATTGTTTTTAGATGGACCACCTATTTGCGTTCATCTTTAAGATGGATGCTTTATCCCTTAATGTAGAAATGCGGTCTAGCCTGCATGAAACAATTTTCCAAATCTATTTTCACCTCTAATTATTAAAATTAAAGCTCTAAAAACAGTATAAATATAGTGGATTTATAAATACTTGAAGGAAGACGCTAGGGTAAGCCCACTAGTTCTCAGGAAAAAATGAGTCCAATGGCCCAGATTGAATCTGAGCCGATCTGACGATTACGGATGTGTGATAGTGTTTGAATTTTAATTTTTTTTTCTACAAATCCAAATCACTTGAAATTTGAATCATATTTACATAAAAAGTAGGTGAGCCTTAAAAAAATATCAAAAAAATATTTTACAAGAAATAAATTAACCAAAATACCCCAAGAAAATTTTAGGGGTATTTTGGTCAAATTTTTTTCTTGGATTTGTTTTTTTTTTTATATTTTTATTTGGTGCGACTTGATGAGAAAAACACATGCCTAAAATTTTAAATAATTTGAATTTGTAGAAAAAAAAACTAAAATTCAAACACTATCAGACATCTGTTATCTTCAGATCGGCCCATATTCAATTTGGGCTGTTGAGCTTATTTTTTCATGTGAACTAGTGGGCTCACCTAAGCTTTTTCCATACTCGAAAATAACTAGTTTAGATAATATGTTACAAGATGCTATTTTTTAAAGCTTAATATTTATCCTTTTTATATAAAGTAATTGTCAAAGCTGAGATGATCTTGAGGGTTTTCCAATTGCAAAAAGTTTGATTCATTTTGGAGGTGTGGGCCTAAAGTTATTACATAAGGCTGTGCGCTTGTGTAACATTTTTTCACTTGTATAAACCCTGTAATTTGCTTTGTTTAATCTCCGTCCATTTCTCAGTACGTAGGGCCATAGGGATGTTTTTCTCATTAATGATCCTCGTGTCAAGCTCCCAAACATGTGGTCACAAGGTTTATCACCGTGAAATCCATTGGATTGACGGTGATAGAGAGTGAACAGTGATTCAGCCTTTAGCTTTTTATCCATATCACATCATTTCTTCTGTTTCTTGGTTTGTCACCGTCAAACCCATTAATCGAATGGCGAGGATTCTTATGATCAATCAATGCCGGTGGTCACATGGATCATTTTACATTCCCTCTCTACGTTCCCGCCACATCTCTCTCTGCAAGCTCTCTTCTCTTCGGATATTTCTTGTTCTCTCTCCTCTCTCTCTCTACAACCTGCTCTCTCTCTCTCTCTCTCTCTCTAAAACCTGTGCTCGATTGATTCATTTACCACGATAATCCTGCCTCTACGCGCGAGCCTCTCTCTCTATCAAACACAAAACCCATCCTTAACCCATGGACGAAGGGGAAACACTGACCGCCAATGGCTCAAACCCTAGATGGCAACTGGACCAGGACCTAGACAACATCTTCTACGACCCTGAAGAAGGCTACCCATCTGTTCCATTAAAGAAGGTCCCCTTTGGTGACATCTTCGAAGCTTCTAGGGCTGGAGACCTTGATCGCCTTCGCTACCTTCTTGATTCGGGAGTTAACGTTAATGGTCGTGATTCTTGGGACTCTGTTTCTTTATACTATACTTGTTTAGCTGGACACTTAGAAGCTGCAAGGCTTCTGTTAGAGAGTGGAGCAATTTGCTCTGAACACACCTTCGATGGTGATCGATGCCATTATGCTGCTTTGAATTTGAGGGTTAGGAAGCTTTTGAAGGCTTTTGAAGCTCGACCTCCTCCACTGCAACCTTTGCAGTCAGCTTTGAGGGATACATTCTTTGGATGTGAGGCCAATCGGGTGGGAAATAAGGAGTTTGGATCAATTCGAGCAATGGGTAATTTCAATTTGGTTCTCTCTCTCTTTGACTCTGGTTCTTTGCTGTTTGGGGTTTTTGGGTTTTTGGCGATTGAGCAAATGGGGATTGTTGTATGATCAAGAAAAATTATCCATGAAGCCAAGATTAGAGTGCGATTCTCTCGGTTCAAGGTCGGTTATTTTTTAGTTGGATTGCATTGGGTCTTTTCTGGTGTGAGAAATGGGTTTATGGACTAATTGAAATAGCGACATAAGGCAAATTATAGTGAGAAAGATAGGATTTAGGTTGTGTAGAACATTTTTTCATGATGTTGGGTATCAGTTATTAATTGATAAGTTATGAAGAACTTCAAATTTTATTTGGTATGATTCTGTAGTAGGATTTGTGGTTTCTTTTTCTTATCCTTTATTTATCTCCCTTTATTTCTTAGTTTCCATCACTTGGAAGTATTTGTTTGGTCACTTGGTGCCAAATAGGAGTGTTATGTATGTATCTGTTTGCGTGATTCCCATTATTGAGTGGTGGTAGTTTTTACTGTTAAAGGTCCTATATTCTTTAATTTTGTTTTTCCTTTGATTCTTGGGTAGATATACGCTTATTGCTTAATGTCTATATTTGATGGAAAATTGATGCCTGCACAATTTCCCCTTTATATGCTCTTTCTTATTGGTATAGAAAAGTAGTGATATACCTTTGTCACAATGTGAAGTTTTAGTCTCTTTCATAAAGTCTTTTGAGATTCAAATGGTCTCCTTTTTCTTGAATGTTCTTAGATCGTCCTTAATATTGATATCATGGTGTATTCTTAGTTAGAGATCAAATGACAATATTAATGGCAATGAGTTGATATCATGGTGGACTGTTTATTGATAGTCAGATTGACAATATTAATTGGCAATCAAAACTCAAATGGCTCAAGACAAGATGAAAATATGTGGAATGGATGTGTTTGGGAATATTTTACACCTGAAAAAATTTTCACTTGAGGATGAGGAGGATCTAGACTGTCAAAAACGTGGGAATTCTTCAGTTTTAATCTGTTATGGGAAGTTATGTGACTGGAATAATTTTGTGGGAGACAAAGTTGAGTTGCTATATATCTTAAAGGTGGTGGTGGCAATTTGGTAATTTCATACTTTTGCCAGTTTATGCAAAAGGATTTTGGCACTTATAACTTCATTGCTATAGGGCAGGATTGTCTTCACTAACAAGGATGAGATAACATGGGTGTTGGGATTCTCTAAAAACTTATTAACCATGGAGGACATTGCCTCCTCAGAAAATTTAGAAATCAAAAGAGTAGATACAAGAGGTGCAATTTGTCTTCAGAGATTCTTTTTGCAGGAGGAAGTTAAACAAATGTTCTCTGGAATGGCAATGGACAAGGCCCTGGCCTGGATAGTTTTTCAAAGTCCTTTACGTAACTATTTGGAGTCCATCAAAGACATTTTATAAGTTTAAATTTGGCATCAATAATATGATGTGAGGAGAAAGGGCACCATTTATATTGCTTTGCTTCTAAAGGGAATGTGCATATGACATCAAGGACTTTGGAACTATAAGCTTAATAAAGGTCCTATACAAAAACTTTGCGAGTTGTTTTTCTAAAAAGATCAAGGAGATCATACTGCTTAACAAAGATTCAACTCAAGGGCTGCTTGGCAAAGTCGGCCCAATTTTAGATCTGGCATGGGTAGCCCATGAGATTGAATTGAGGCATATATCCACGAAATCTGGTTGTGGTGTACAAAATGGATTCCGAAAAGCCTATTATCATGTTATTATGGAAAAAACGTTGTGGTCATGTGGGTTGGAAATTTCTTGAATCCATATGTAGGCATGTAGGTCTTGGAGAGATGAATTTCATGGATCACGTCATGCATTTCAATGTCTATCTCTTCAGTTATCGTTAATAGAAACCCGAAAGGTTATTAATATAGTTGGAAGTGGGTCGAAACCATGGAAATCTACTATCTTCCTTCTTGTTCACCATTATGGCAGTTTGCCTGACGTTCTGATGGATCAAGGGTTTTCCCTATGAAAGAGTGTTGTTTCTCATCTTCGCTTAGGGGTTTTCCCAATGTAAGGTTTGACCAGAAAACTGGATTGGATTGGCTTGTCGAACCAGGAATCGGACCTAAACTAGTTCGCTCTATCTTAAAACCAGAAAACCATAAAAACTAGATGAACTGCATGTCTGGTTGAACTATTTTTTTTTTTCAAAAATATAATAATTTTTACCTTCGTTATATTATTGTTGTCGTTTCTGGCTTGTTGCTGCTGCCAGTTGCACCACCAATTGGAGTGAACTGGACCATTCACTTGTTCGACCACTGTTCGAGTTCATATGGCATTAGTTAGAAGATCCAATCCTAAGAGGGTTGTTGTCGTATTCTCAAAGAAGAGGAGGTTTGCTGGCTTTAGACCTCTTTTCACATGATTGCTTGTGTGTGGGCTAGACCATTTCTGCCATTCTAGTAGATCGTTTATGGCATGCAAACTATAAGGAGGAAGATCTGACCATCTGAGAGTTGTTCTATAACCTTTACAAAGGTGATGGTTCCTCTAGATCTAGGGGTAGGAATTGGGTTGGGTCGACCTGTGGATCTGATGGTCTACTCGATGTGGTCTGGGTCCACTTGACCATGACCTGACCGGGTCTAGGTCTGGGTCTGGGTTCAGGTCCAGGTCCAGCTTGGTTCCTATTGGGTCAGAGCGGGTACATGTCAAGGCCAAACCGACCTGTCCCAATCTGAATATATTAGTATAAATTACATATAAATAATGCTAATTACATTGTATAAAATAATTTTTGTATATTTTTTATTGATAGACATGGAGCGGACCTGTGTCGCGTCCGGATTGGGTTTGGCTTGGGGTCTACCCGGGCCGTATCCGACGCATTCCCACCCCTACCTAGAAACTAATTTGATGGTGTGGAGTTACTGGTCAACAAATAAAAGAAAAAAGAAAAACTAGATGGACTTGATAATGAACATTTATTAGGTCATAAGGCTGATTAGTTGGTGGTAGTTTGAAGAGGGAAAACTGAAATGGCAACCTTAGGTTTGTTTTGATGTTGTGCCTTGGGTCTAGTCAGTGTCATCATGGCACAAGGCTTTTGTAAAGAACGATAACATATTTTGGCTGTTATAGCAATATAATGCCACTATTTTAAAGGCTTGCTCATATTCAATTTTTTCCTCAAAAAAGATAATTATTTCTACAATAACAGTAATGGCTTTTGGTCTGATGTCCATCATTACAATGTAATGTCATCCTTTAGACCTCGATATGGCATATTCAGAAGTTCTGCGACATTATTGAGAATGAGATAGTGGATATATGGAGGTGTTCTGTGAGTTCAATGACAAGGACCACATAAGCAAGGGGTTTGAATTTTTTTTTTAGTTCATTCATCCCCAAATTAGAAGTTTTTGTTGTTGTGTCAAGGATTTCTGAACCATCGTCTTACAAGGTTTACTAAATTTCTCTAAAGTACGCATTGTGGACCTCTTGGTTTCGTTTCCTACACACCTTAATAGGCCTTCTTCAGGGGAAGTGCATCCTTGGCAGAGCATTATTTGTCCTTAGGTTTATGGATTCCAAATATATGTGGGGTTTAGGAAAGCTGACGCTCATTTTAACTGGTAGTTTCTCGTTGTGCTTACTTGTTGAGGGTTTTAATCTGCACAACATGCCTATTTCTCTTGGTTAGAAAAGTAAATGAAGTCCTTTTGGATCAAAAGAATCAAGATTTAGGCTGTCTAACTAATGTCTTTTTTCTTTGGGTGCAAATAAAGAAGAGGTAGAAAGCACATTTTTTTGCAAAATGATTCAAGGGTATGGAATCAATTACAAGGGTGCATTTACCCCGGACTTTTGAGATAGCATTGTTTCACACACTCTTGGCTGTTGCTGCAGTCTCGAAGTTGCCCTTGCAATAGTTATGGGTTAAAAAATACTTTTCTTGAGGATTCTCTTTATTGAGTATAGGCACATTTATATCTTGGTTTCTTTCTACTTCTTGACCTTTATATGTGGATGAGCGATTGATAGGGAACAATGTTCCTAAAGGCGGATTTGGCCGCCTAGGCAACCAGGCGGCCCTACAGTGGTTCTTTTCTTTTTTGTTGCGGTGGGGGGGTTATGAGAGAGAAAGAGAGAGAGGGAGAGAGCAAGAGAGAGCATAGGGTTTCATGTGTGTTGTATATGAGGCTCGCATTCAACACTTGGAGGCCGTATTCTTCTTTTTCTTCTCCTTATATGTAGAGAGGGAGAGAGGGCTTGCATCAAACACTCGGAGGTCGTCGTCTTCTTTTTCTTCTTCTTATATGTATTGTGTGATGGGTCCATGTGTGTATTTATGTGAGAGAGAAGCCTCACATGAGAGAGAGAGAGAGAGAGAGAGAGAGAGAGAGAGAGAGCATATGGGTCCATGTGTGTATTTATGTGAGAGAGAGGCCTCACATCAAACACTTGAAGTATGTCTTCTTCTTCTCTCTTCTTCTTCTTATATGTAGAGAGAGAGAGCAGATCATTAGGCATCCTAGGCGGCCCTAGGGCACCGAGGTGGAAGCCCTAATACCAAACTGAATAGGCCCCCCCAAGGCCCTACTTAGTTCGGAAAAGCCTCTGGGCCGATGGATTTTTTTTCACTGATAGGGAATTCTCAGCAAAAATTTGACTTTGTCTAGGCTTCATATTTGGCTTTATTTTAGATAAATATTGGAATAGAGTTGCTAATTATTAGGTCTTGAGATTTCTCTTTTTGATGATAATCACGTCTACTCGTCCCAAATTTAGGAGTGTGGCTGCTCTATAATCGGTCAAAAAACCTCAGATTGTGCATGGAGTTGATGTAATTACTAATAAGTCAGAATAGGGCCATTCGTAAGATGCAGTGTTTCAAAACTCAGCCGGGTCAACTTGGACGGGGCCGAGTTATTCGGGCTTGGCACCCAGTTGAGGCATGATTTTATGACAAACTGGATTTGTAGAATCATTTAAAAATTAAA